GTAAGTAGGAAGTGTTCATTATGTTGTCACTATTTTATGTTTAAAAAGTATTATCCTAAGCAAAATGTGATAAGACATACAATGGAGTATTATTCATCCTTAAAAGGCAAGGAAATTTTGTCACATGCTACAATATGGATGAAACTTAGAAATTATTCTGAGTGAAATCAGCCAGTTACAGAAAGTCGAATACTGTACGATTCCACTTACGTGAGCTATCTGGAATAGTCACATTCATAGAGACAGGAAGGAGAATGCTTTCCAAGGGCTTAGGGCGGGGGGCGTAGTAAGTGTTTCATGGGTACAGAGTTTCAGTTTGGGAAGATGAAAAAGTTCTGTAACAATAATTTGCTGCATATTTCAGAATCGCTAGATTTGGAATGTTCCCAACACAAATAAATGATCAATGTTTGAAGTGATGGTTGTCCCAAGTACCCAGTTTTGATACTTGAACATTGAAGGCTTGTATCAAAATATCACATGTACCCCATAAATATTAGGTACTATGCATCTATACAAATTAAAAATAAATTTTAAAAAAGATCTGGAGATGGGTGGTGGTGATGATTCTACAACAATGTGAATGCATATAATGCCACTAAACTCTATCCTTAAAAATGACTAAGATGATCAATTTTATGTTATGTGTATTTTGCTGTAATAAAAAAATTAAACCAAAAAAACCCTACCCTGGCTTCTGTGTGGTAATGGGGGTTGGGGATGCAGACAGGGTGGATGCAGACAGAGCAGTCAGGGTCCCTCTGTTGTCCAGGCAGGAGATGCTTCTGATGGTGAAGATGCAGAAGATGCATTTGGGGAGGTTTGGAGGCAGCTAGATCTTAAAGATAGAAACTAGCTGGCAGATTAGATGGGGGCTGAGGAAAACAGGGAACCGGAAGAGTTCTTTTGTTTCTGGCTATAAAGGTGGGTGATTTTGAGCCACTATTATCAGGAACAGAGAAGATGGGGAGTGGAGGGGTTTGTAGAGGTTTGCTAGGCTGGCTGGTCGTTCAAAGGGAGACTTCTTCAATAAAGTGATGAAATCCATAATGAGCATGACACTGAAAACTCTTCAAATTTATTAACTTTATTTACTTGGTATTGTGAAGTTTCAGTTTCTCTCTACTTCTTTAGGTGCTTCATTTCATGAATAATAAGCTCCTCCCATCACAGTCTCCCTCTTGCCCCAACATCCATTGTATTTGCCAGGCAAAACAGGTTTTCAGATGGGAGTGAATAAACCTCATTTTGTTTCTAGTATTAATGAATACTGGTCGTTCTCTTCAGTTTTGAAATTTGGAACTTAGTCCTTTATTTTTGTAGATGAAAATTAAATAACTGTTAATAGTTATTGGATATTTACTCTGAGAATTGTTTTAGACTCTATATTTTTGTATTCGTTATCTCATTTATTCCTCACAATGAATTTATGAAGTAGATATTCCTATTTGTACTCTATAGATGATGAAATTGAAATAACTTTCTCAAGGGCTAAAATAACTTTCTCAAAGGCTCAGCTTTCCTAAGAAGCAAACCCAAGATACTATTAATATTATGAGAAAATGAGTTTTGAGTTTTTATTCCAGATTTTATCTAATTAGCCTACCTCTTATTTATCTATCAGTGTATTCATTGTAGTAAAATATACATCACATAAAACTTAGCATGTTAACCATTTTTGAGTGTATAGTTCAGTGGCATTTAGTACATTCACATTATTGCACAACTGTCACCACCATTACTACCAAAATTCATTTTATCATCCTAAATGGAATTCTCTTCTTTTTAAACAATAACTCCCTATTCTCTCTCCCCCATAGGCCCTGGCAGCCACTATCCTACTTTCTGTAGGATATCCACTATCCTACTTTCTGTAGGATATCCACTATCCTACTTTCTGTAGGATATCCACTATCCTACTTTCTGTAGGATATCCACTATCCTACTTTCTGTAGGATATCCACTATCCTACTCTAGCTCCATCATGTAAGTAGAGGCTTACTGCATTTGTTCTATAGTGACTGACTTATTTCACTTAGCATGATGTCTTCAAAGTTTATCTGCATTGTAGTATGTGTCAGAATTCTGTTTCTTTTTTTCTTTTCTTTTTTTTTTTTTGAGACGGATTCTTTCTCTGTCACCCAGGCTGGAGTGCAGTGGCGCAATCTCAGCTCACTGCAACCTCTGTCTCCCGAGTTCAAGAGATTCTTCTGCCTCAGCCTCCTGAGTAGCTAGGACTACAGGCAGGCGCCACCATGCCGGCTAATTTTGTATTTTTAGTAGAGACTGGATTTCACCATATTGGCCAGGCTGGTCTCAAACTCCTGATCTTATGATCCGCCCACCTTGGCCGCCCAAAGTGCTGGTATTACAGGCATGAGTCACCATGCCCAGCCTGAATTCTGTTTCTTTTTAAGAATGAACAATATTCCATCCTATGTCCATATCACATTTTGCTTATCCGTCTGTTGATGGCCAGTCACTTGGGTTACTTTCTACCTTTTGACAACTGCAAATAATGCTGTCATGAACATGAGTGTACAAATATCTCTTTGAATCCCTGCTTGGATTTATTTTGGGTATATACATCCAAGTGGGATTGCTAGATCATATGATAATTTTATGTTTAGTTTTTTGAAGAACCACCCTGCTGCTTTTATTTATTTATTTAATATAAATGTTCTCTCTTCTCTCTCTCAACTTTTTTGTACCTTGGATATTGCTTTAAGTGTGGTGTTCAATAAATATCATTAACGATGATTATAAATGTAGCTGACATCCATACAGCTTTTAGCATATGTACTATAGGCAGGGCGCGGTGGCTCAAGCCTATAATCCCAGCACCTTGGGAGGCCGAGACGGGTGGATCACGAGGTCAGGAGATCGAGACCATCCTGGCTAACATGGTGAAACCCCGTCTCTATTAAAAAATACAAAAAAAACTAGCCGGGCAAGGTGGCGCGCGCCTGTAGTCCCAGCTACTCGGGAGGCTGAGGCAGGAGAATAGCGTGGACCTGGGAGGTGGAGCTTGCAGTGAGCTGAGATCCGGCCACTGCACTCCAGCCTGGGAGACAGAGCGAGACTCTGTCTCAAAAAAAAAAAAAAAAAAAAAAAAAAAAAAAAAAAAAAGCATATGTACTATAAATCATTTTATAATATGATGCTATTGTTCAGCTTTACTTTCTCCTCTGTAACAGGCACTGTGCTCAATGATTGGTTTGGATTACTGCCCTTAATTCTCATAGCTTCTCTATGAGGGAGGTGCTAGTCTTGCATCTTATATATAAGGAAATTGAGGCACAGAGAGATTAAACAACTTGCCCAAAGTCACACAGCTAGAAAGTGAAAAGTGGCAGAGGCAGTATTCTAACCCAGGCAGTCTGAGCCCACAGCCCGTAGGCCTAATCTGTATTCCAAATGCTTCCTACAGGCTGTGCTACAGTCCAAGAAGACATGTCACACAAGTATATAGTGATACTGCTGTATAAATAATAATTAAATCAACTGACTTGAGCTTATGATGTGCTCTTCATTAGAATGGATCCAATTTGTGGCATCCTATTGTTTTTTGTTTACTCCTTTCCTTACCTCCTGCCTCAAGCTAAAATATCAAAAGGATGTTTTACATATATCCTTTATATATTGTTAATTATGAACAAATGTATCTATATAATAGGGCACCATTTTGGTTGAGACGAAGCACTGTTATTTGTTTTATTTTATGTTTGCTGTGGTGGAAAGTATGTCTATCAGCAATGCCTAGTAGTGCTGACTTAGGTTTTCTTTTTTGTCAGAAGTAATTTTATGATAAACTAATATTGTAGTATCCTGGGAAGCTTTGTATACCTGAAAGAGGGGAGTGATTTGCTCAGATATGCTGAAGGTTCAGTTTGTCAATTCCATTTATATTTTGAGACCCACTTTGCCCTAACTGAAAGAGATAATGGAACAGAAATCTGGATAGTTTTTTGTTTCTTTGTTTTTGTTTTTGAGATGGAGTTTTGCTCTTGTTGCCCAGGCTGGAGTGCAATGGTGTGATCTTGGTTCACTGCAACCTCTGCCTCCCAGGTTGAAGCAAGCCTCCTGCCTCAGCCTCCCGAGTATCTGGTATTACAGCCATGTGCCACCACGCCAGGATAATGTTTTGTATTTAGTAGACATGGGGTTTCACCATGTTAGTAAGGCTAGTCTCGAACTCCTGACCTCAGGTGATCCGCCCACCTCTGCCTCCCAAAGTGCTGGGATTATAGGCGTGCGCCACTGCACCTGGCCGAAATCTGGATAGTTTAAGTCAAGGAAATGATGCTGGTTCATTGGAAACCATACTAATTTTCCTTTTCTTCAGTAGCAAAGTCATCCCCGGGGTCTCAGACTACAATCTGGGGGCAGTTTCCTACACTGGCATTGCCCTCACTTGGCATTTACCAGCTGCCCACTCCTGCTTCTCCCTGGCATATCTGCTTCTCCATCTACTCCTCTGACCACGTCTTCCTGACCACCTTTCTTTTCTTTTAGCAAAGAGTTAGGGGTTGGAGATAACAAGCAGACCACGAATAATGAGAAAGCAATGGACACATTTGATTCTTAAGCCCTTTGGGGAAAATTGGCATGCTCCTATAGCTTCTTCGGGGATGAGGATGGTAGAATCAAGTCAAGAGCCAACACCCAGGGCAGAAAGCAACCTGCCCTCACTGGTCACTCCAAGAGGCTCAGAGATGGAGTCCGGTTGCGCCAGCTATCGGTAGACCTCTCCTCTGAACCTAACTGATAGCGTGCCACCCTCGCACACTGCCATTGTTTGTTTCACACTATGGACCTAGACAGATGAGCTGCCTCATCACCTACTCTATGCAGAAACTACCGTGTCCTCCCCTCTGCACAGGCAAATATTTACCAGCTCTGTGGACAGCCATGTGTATCATATCAAGGACCTGGGGCCAAGTCAACTCAGGGTCAGATGCGAAGGGGCAGACAAAAGCAGAGAGAGAGAGAGAGAGTACTAACTTGTTTTTTGGCTCCAATTTTATTCATATAGGCATTGAAATGCTGTTGTCAGTTGATCCCCCGGAAAAATCAGCCTTGACAATGATCTTGGTCTCAGGCTTGTGGCCTCTTTGAGTTTCCTCATTGTCAACATCAAGACCTAGGAATGAGAAAAGAAGGAAAAAGAAGAAGAAGAAAGGAAGAAAGGAGATGAAGAATGTAGAGAGGAAGGGATGAAAGGCCCCTGCAGGAGGGGACTGGCCGGGAGCAGGATACACTTCCTTTCACCAACATTCCGGGCCTCAGGGAGGAGCTTGGGGGCTGATCCAAACTGTGTATGGGAGTGGCAGGGATCTTTGGAGAGAATCAAAAACCTAACAAATCAAGTTATTAAGTTACTTTTGAAAGCATAAACATACTTTGCAATAAAGGTCTAGGACCCTGATAAAACCCAGAGATGGAGAAGTGAAATCAATTGTTGAGAATAAATGAAACATGTATTGATCCACACACTACAGCCATCTGTGATGTCTAATCCTCATGGTAATCACGGCAGGATGGTATTTTGATCCCCCTTTGATAAGAGAGGATATTTAAGTCAGAAAGGGTCAGTGGTTCACCCAAGTCCACACGGTAAATGAATGGCAAAGCCACGCATCCACCCGTTCATCCTGCCTTCAAATCCTACCCATGTTTTCGCACAGAATCTGGACTGCACTGAAACCTGGAAAACAACAGACCCTGTTGGCTTGGGAAATAGCTGACAGCAAATAGCACTTGGAGAGTGAGCTGGGGAAGAAGTAGCCCGGGCTGGCAGGTGGGAGGGAGAAGGGTCAGGCCTGAGAGCTGAGGAAGAGGAAGGCCCGCCTGGCCCGCTCCCACTCCACATGCCAGCCCTGGCCGGGAGCATGTGGGGGCACAGGTTTCCTCGGATCCCACGTCCATTGTTCTGCCGTTATGACATGGCCTCACTGTCTATCATAGACGGAAGTGAAATTGGTCTGGAATGGTTTCCTCTTCCCACAGTTTTCTTGGTTGTATATTGATAGATGACTTTTAAATATAATATCCTTACAGATAGGAAAATTAAGCTAATCTATCCATTCAATGTCCAGAACTGTCCTTTTTTTCAAGTTTAGCATGAGAGACGATGTGTTAGCCTTTTTCAGTCCTCTAAGACTTCCTTATCATGCCATAGTTTTTAAAAAGTGGCTTAATTTCCCTGGGTCACCGGAGAGCATCCGTGGGAGTTCCATGGTGTCAGCATTCTCTGTGCTATTGGAGCACGGCTTCCCTTCGACCGGATTGCAGGTCTGGGCTCACAGATTCCAGTCACCATGGCCACAAAGCTGGGAGAAGAGAAAAGAGGCCCCACCTTGGCCGGAGCATGTGCTATTCTCTTCCTAGAGCTGTTGTTTTCCTTGATCATCTATAACTAAGATCTTTTTCCAGTTGCCTCTTGCATGTCCTAGAAGCTCCATCTGATTTGTTTTTGTGGTTTACTTTTTTTTTTTTTTTACAGAGACAGAATCTTGCTCTGTCGCCCAGGCTGGAGTTCAGTGGCATGATCTTGGCTCACTGCGACCTCCGCCTCCCATGTTCAAGCAATTCTTCTGTCTTAGCATCCCGAGTAGCTGGGATCACAGGTGTGTGCCACCATACCCGGATATTTTTTCTCTTTTCTTTTTAAGTAGAGACAGGGCTTCACCATATTGGCCAGGCTGGTCTCGAACTCCTGACCTCAGGTGATCTGCCTGCCTTGGCCTCCCAGAGTGCTGGGATTACAGGTGTAAGCCACCATGCCTGGCCATGGTTTGCTTTTTTGATTCTGACTTGGAAACCACATACTATCTCTCTCTTTCTCTCTTTTTTTAATTTAGCTGGAGCTCCATGGGTTTCTCAGGCCCTGGACAGAAGGGGTTGATTTTTGTTTTGCTTCTGTCACTGCCTTTCTCTGTCAGTATAATTTCTGTGACCTTAGCAATGTCTACTAAAAGTACATTCCTTGCAAACTTTGATTCCTAAGATTTGATTTTCCCTGGTCCTTTTTGCTCATATCTAAAGCATGTTGGAATGTTTCTCTGAAGCTCATGCCAACTATGGATTTTCCTTAACACTGTGAATATTATTACCCAGATGATTATTTTCTCTATTTATAGAGGAATTTTTAGAAGTTTACCATTTGAATGGTAAACTTGTGGTTAACATGCATTATCTCATTTCATCTCCAGTTACCCATGAGGGAGATACTCTCTCCATCGTCTATTTCACAGATGAGGACACGTCCGAGGATTTGCGTGCATCACACAGCTCACGACTGTGAGAGCCGGAAGTGGAGTGCGTTTCCACCTTGAGACGCATGCCACTACTTTTTCGTTTTCTTCCGTCTTTAAACATAACTCCTTTCCATATGTAAAAATTAAATCTGGCTGGGCGCAGTGGCTCAGGCCTGTAATCTCAGCACTTTGGGAGGCCGAGGCAGGCGGATCATGAGGTCAAGAGATTGAGACCATCCTGGCTAACATGGTGAAACCCTGTCTCTACTAAAAATACAAAAATCAACTGAGCATGGTGGCACGTGCCTGTAGTCCCAGCTACTCAGGAGGTGGAGGTTGCAGTGAGCTGAGATCGCACCATTGCACTCCAGCTTGGGCAACAAGAGTGAAATTCCATCTAAAAAAAAAAAAAAAATTAATCAGGGAACCAAACTACCCATTTTCTTTACTAAGAAATTTAGGAAAACTCTCCATCTGAAATACTTACTTCCTTTTTAAATTTATTTTGTTTTCATAATAAATTCTCTAATACAAGAATAGGGAATGCACTGTGTTAGCAGGTGGCGGACTCTGGACCCTGGGACCCAGATCCCAGCTTAAAGGGTCATTCCTTCTTGCCCTGAAGCACCATTGCACCAGGAGAAACTGGCACCCGGTGTTACATTGGGAACATTTGAATGGAAACCAGAATTTTTACACTGTTTATCATCTGATGAGGGTTTTAAGGGGAAAGTGTCAACATAAATTTGGAATTTCCTGACTTCTGCGGATTTGAGTTACAATCCTGACAAGACTAGAAAGGAAATCTTAAAAAAAAAAAATTTTAGAGTGTTTTATTGTGGAAATGTCCCCAAACATTTTCATCCCATTTTCCCAGAGAAACCTGACAGCTCTTGGGGCAGGGGGTGGGGGGTGGCGGACGAGGGGGGATGGAGAAGAACAAAACCCAGCGGCCACATCCTTGAACTCTTTTGTGTGTTTAGAACAATGTCCAGTTAAAATCAAACAATATTGCTGCTAAATGCGTCTAAAATAGTCCTTGGTTAGTACTCTTGCTCTTGCCCGGTGGAAGGGCTCCGTAAGAGGGCAGCTTGGAGAGTGATGAGAGCCGGGCCCAGTGCTGACCGCAGAGGCAGCAGGGCACAGCGAGATACTGTATCTTTCCAATAACCCTGTCATCAGCTCCTGCGTTGCTGGGACTTTAAATCTCAATCTGAGCGCAGCGTGCATACAGCCGCTGCACCCAAGTGGAAAACAAAAGCCGGGCTAGGGCTGGGGGTGGGGGAAGCTCATAAAGGAGAAGTCATGAAGTCTGGCTTTCTGGCCAGATTTCCTCTGGAAGGTGAGGTGTGGCCGGCACTGTGTGTGTGGACCGCCTGGGAGGGGACACACACCCTGCCTTCAGACGGCAGGACCTCAGCCTGGCCCGCAGCCAAGGAGCCAGACGCCAGGCCCCGGGCTCTCAGCAGTGGGAGCGGTCGCTGGGCTGGGTATACAATGGTATTATCTCAAGCCAACCACTGCTGCAGAAACGCGCAATGCTTCCTGTCCTTGCATTGCAGCACAAACTGTCCGATTTCCAACTGCTTTCGGACACACTCACCCGCACTCGGCCGCCAGGCTTGCTGTATGAATGTCTAAAGCCATTTCTTCCTTGGGAATTGCAGACGCTGCAATGCCGTAATCCACTGTATTTTTATCCCCTCTGGAAGGACCTGAACCGATCATGAATCACATGGGGAAAGGGATTAACTCCCAAAACAGTTTATGTAATGTAGGCAAATGCCTGAAGCTTCTTATAATGGGGGAAAGCAGAAAGATCTCCAAACTCATTAACATCATACACAATTTATTCTTGTTGGTCCATCGTCTTTATTCTCTTTCCCACTTTGAATCCTTGGGAAAGCAAGAAGATGCAATAGAAGAGGAAAATCTGGGTGAACGTGGAGGAGAAAGCCTGATTTTAATTTCTAGTGATTACTTTTAATATATGTTGAATGAATTTTGTTTAAACTGTTATGGTACTCTCAAACATGGCCATTGGATTAAATTATTTCAAAAATTTAAAAGCCTACTAAACCCTGGTACTACCAATGTGTTGAAAAGGACAAGGGAGATGAAGGAGAAGGTTCTTTTTTTTTTTTTAATCGTGTTTGATGTTTTTGGCTTTGGAATATTTCAATTAGGTTTTTAAGCATCTGACTGAACCTTTCAAATTACGTGCCTATGTCAGAAGGGTGAACACTTTCAGTAACCTGCTCCCAGAAGTCAGAGGTTTAATCCAACAGTTACCAGAAATGCTCTTAAACTTTCTGCTTCCAGGTCAGGAGCTTTTTGGCAGGCCGCTGTTCCCAGGGACATGGACTTTGATGCAGCATGGGCTACTTAAGGAGGCTCAGAAAAGGCTGGCCTCAGGCGGGCAGCCAGGGCTCACAGGGCCAGAATCCTCTGCTTTGTGCTTCGTGGGAATTCCTGTGATTACAGTACAAACCCAGTTTTCAGTAAAATGGGATGACAACTGCTCCAAATAAGGTGGCCCTTGGTTTATCCCGAATGTGCCTAAGTAGATCTACTCCCTCGTAATGAAGCCTGAAGATTCCTTCAGCTACTTGCCCTTGTGAAAATGGGTGGGCTTTTTTTGGACTGGATTCAGTAGTGTGCTGGCAAATGTTTAACCACCAGTTCTCCGCAACAAGCAGCCCTGATGGGGACATTTGCTATGGCCTTCAAGAGATTGGGGCCTTGAAATATACAACTTTTTAAAATTAGAAAGTATTTTAAACATACAGAGAAATATAGAGGATAATAGAATAAATGTTTATGTACCCACAAACTCTTATTTAATCTGAACACTTTGTGGTGTTTACTTTTCTTTTGAAGAAATGGTTGAAACCTGCTGGGTCCTCTCTCTGGGCTCCTCCCTCCCTGCGCAGAGGCGATCGATGTCTGAACTTCGTCTTTCCCCTGCATGCAGGACAGATGTTCTTCAAGCTCCCAGAGCTGTCTAAAGGCCAGAGTGACAGCACAAAATTTTCAATTTTCAAATACCACCCTTGCCTGCATTTTCCAAACATATGTTTATACATGCAATAGATAATATTGTTTTGCATGCTTTAAAATTTGAATATAAATCATAATGTACATACCTTTTTGATACATTTAATGAGATATTATTTACACACCATACAATTCATCTATTCAAAGTGTACAATGGTTTCTAATATATTTGGAAAGTTGCACAACCATCACCACAATCAATTGTAGAAACTTTTCATCACCACCGCTCATGCCAAGCCAAAAAAACCTACTGGTGCCAATGAATGGTCCCTCATCTTCCCCGACCCTGCCCCACTCCCAAATCTAGACAACCAATAGTGGGTCTTCTGTCTGTAGAGGGTTGCCTAGACTGGTAATTTCACATAAATGGAATCATATAATGTGTGACTTTTTGCATCTGGCTTTGTTCACTTAGCACAGTATTTATCATTCATGCATATTATAGCATGTATTTATATTTCTTCATTTTTATTGCCAAATAATTTTCCATAGTATGAATGTATCACATTTTATTTATTCTTCCATTAATGGCTATTTGGGTTGTTTCCACTTTTTGGCTATTATGAATAATGCTGCTATTAATATTTCTGTACAAGTTTTTGTGTGAACACGTGCTTCAATTCTTTGTGGTGTATACCTAGGAGAGGAATTGCTGGGTCATACAGGAACTCTATGTTTAACCTTTTGAGGAGCTGCTAGACTGTTTTCCAAAGCAGCTGCATCGTTTTATATTTCCACTAGCAGTGTGTGAGGATTCTGGCTTGTCCATATCCTCACCAACACCTATTATTGTCTGTCTTTTTGACTCTAGCCATCCTAGTGGGTGTGAAGGGGTATCTCATGATGACTTTGATTTGCATTTCCATAATGATTAATGGTACTGAGCATCTCTACATGTGTTTGCTGGCTAGCTGTATATCTTTTTTGGAGAAATATCTGATCAGATCCTTTATCCATTTTTTAAATAGAATTACTTATCTTTTCACTTATTTATATATATTTTTTGATACTGGGTTTTGCTCTTTTTGCCCAGACTGGAGTGCAATGGCATGATCTCGGCTCACTGCAACCTCCACCTCCCAGGTTCAAGCAATTCTTCTGCCTCAGCCTCCCAAGTGGCTGGGATTACAGGCATGCGCCACCATGCCTGGCTCATTTTATATTTTTAGTAGAGACGGGGTCTCTGCATGTTGGTCAAGCTGGTCTCAAACTCCTGACCTCAGGTGATCCGCCCACCTCATCCTCCCAAAGTGCTGGGATTACAGGTGTAAGTCACTGCGCCCAGCTTATTATCTTTTTATTTTTGAGGTACAAGAATTCTTAATGTATTCTAGATATAGTCACTTATCAGATATATGATTTGCAAATATTTTCTCCCATTCTGTGGGCTATATTTTCACTTTTTTTGATAGTGCTCTTTGCTCTGTATAATCTTCTAAGGCTATTCTTAAATTAATACATTTTTAGCATTATCCAAGTAGAAACATGGAACATGAATACATCAATTTGAACCATTTTCAACCTCTGTATAGTACTTAATACTACGACTATTTAGAATTAATTTATTGATTCATTATTCTGTCAGTGGAAACTTGGGCTTGTGCCAGTATTTGGCTGTGGCAAACAATGCCACCATGAACATTCTTTTTTTTTTTTTTTTGAGACGGAGTCTCGCTCTGTAGCCCGGGCTGGAGTGCAGTGGCCGGATCTCAGCTCACTGCAAGCTCCGCCTCCCGGGTTTACGCCATTCTCCTGCCTCAGCCTCCGAGTAGCTGGACTACAGCGCCCCCACCTCGCCCGGCTAGTTTTTTTTTTTTTTGTATTTTAGTAGAGACAGGGTTCACGGTGTTAGCCAGGATGTCTCGATCTCCTGACCTCGTGATCCGCCGTCTCGGCCTCCCAAGTGCTGGATTACAGGCTTGAGCCACCGCGCCCGGCCCACCATGAACATTCTTATCCATGTCTCTTGGGGTACATTTCCAAGTGTCTGTTGGGCAAATACAAGGCATGTGTTAGAGATAGTGTGGGTTTGGTTCGAGACCACTGCAATAAATCCAATAGCACAATAAAGAGAGTCACATACATTTTTGGATTACCCTGTGCATATAAAAGTCATATTTACACCATACTGTAGCTTATTAAGTGTGTAATAGCATCAGGTCTAAAAAAAAACAAAGTATAAACCTTAACTTCAAAATACTTTCTTTTTTTTTTTTTGAGAGAAGGTCTCACTCTGTCACCTAGGCTGGAGTGCAGTGGCGCGATTTGGGGTCATTGCAACCTCCATCTCTTGGGTTCAAGTGATTCTTCTGCCTCAGCCTCCTGAGTACTGGGATTATAGTCATGCACCACCATGCTCGGCTAGTTTTTGTTTTTAGTAGAGATGGGTTTTGCCATGTTGGCCAGGCAGATTGCAAACTCCTGGCTTCAAGCGATCCACCAGCCTCGGCCCTCGAAAGTGCTGGGATTACAGGCATGTGCCATGGCGCCTGACCTAAAATACTTTATTTTTAAAAAATGTTAACAATCATCTGAGCCTTCAACAAGGCCTAATCTTTTTGCTGGTAGAGGATCTTATCTTGCCTTGAGGTTGATGGCTGCTGACTGATCAGGATGGTGGTTGCTGAAGGTTGAGGTGGCTGTGGCAATTTCTTAAAATTTGCCGCATTGATTGACTCTTCCTTTCGTGAGAGATTTCTCTGAAACATGCAATACTGTTTGGTAGCATTTTACCAATAGTAGGATTTCTTTCAAAATTGGAGTCAATCCTCCAAACCCTGCCACTGCTTTATCAACGAGGTTTGTGTAATATTCTAAATACTTTGTTGTCATTTTAATAATGTTCATAGCATCTTCATCAGGAGAAGATTCCATCTCAAGAAACCACTTCTTTCGGTCATCCATAAGAAGCAACTCCTCATCCATTAAAACTTTATCATGAGATTGCAGCAATTCAGTCACATCTTCAGGATTCACTTTAAATTTTGGTTCTCTTGCAATTTCTACCATCAGCAGTTATTTCCTCCTCTGAAGTCTTGAAACCTTCAAAGTCATCCATGAGGGTTGTAGTAAAATTCTTCCAAACTCCTGTTAATGTTGATAGTTCGATCTTCTCCCATGAATCATAAATGCTTTAATGGCATCTAGAATGCTGAATCCTTTCCAGAAGGTTTTCTATTTACTTTGCCCAGATACATCAGAAGAACCATTACCTACGGCAGCTATAGAGTTAGGAAATGTATTTCTTTCTTTTTTTTTTTTTTTTTTGAGACGGAGTCTCGCTGTTCACCCAGCTGGAGTGCAGTGGCACATCTCGGCTCACTGCAAGCTCCGCCTCCCGGTTTACGCCATTCTCCTGCCTCAGCCTCCAGTAGCTGGACTACAGGCGCCCGCCACCACGCCCGGCTAGTTTTTGTTTTTAGTAGAGACGGGGTTCACCATGTTAGCCAGATGGTCTCGATCTCCTGACTTCGTGATCCACCCGCCTCGGCCTCCCAAAGTACTGGGATTACAGGCTTGAGCCACCGCGCCCGGCCAGGAAATGTATTTCTTAAATAATAAGACTTGAAAGTTGAAATTACTCCTTGATCCGTGGGCTGCTGAATGGATATTGTGTTGGCAGACAGGAAAACAACATTAATCTCCTTGTATGTCTCCATCAGAGC